ACCCCTGTTTTTTCCCAGGGGCTCTGTCCTGGGGAGTTAGGGCTTTATTTATGAGTTTCTGTTGTGCTGCTGCCTTTTTTTCAGAGCTGTCCTGCCCAGCAAGGAGGCAGCCTAGTCACTGTCTGCCTGTAGAGGCTTTGCTGAGCTGCTGTGGGCTCTGCCCAGCTGCCATGTGAACTTCCCTGCAGTCCTGTTTATACAGGTAGTTAGAACTGCCTCAGCACTGGTGGCCCACCTCAGTAATGGCGGACTCTATAGTCGCCGGTTGCCTCGGCAGCGGGAGGCTGCCTCAGCAATGGCGGACGCCCCTCCCCCACAGAGCTGGACCTTCCCAGGTTCAGCTGTGCTTGGTGTGAAACTCTCAACCCAGAGCATTTCCAGTTGCTGTTTTTTTATGGGGGTGGGACCAGCCAAGCCTGATCACCTGGCTCCCTGCCTCAGAGCCATTTTTTTAGTTCAACGGTTGACTCTCTTCCAGGTGTTCCAGTCGCCTGTTGAAAAGGCGCCAGGATCTGTGTGATTTCCCGTGTGGTAACCCACTGCACTGGCTGAAACCGCTGCACTGAGATTCGTGGCACTTTTTTGCCCAGGAAACTCCTGGCCTGGCTCCCTGTTTCAGTTTCCTTTTTAATCAAATGAATGGGCAAGTCTGCCTTCCCAGAGCTCCAATTACCAGCTAAAACGGTACCCAGACCTGTGTATTTTGTATGGAGAACTGCAGCCCCGGGGAACCGGCAAAACAGCCGCGCTGGCCAAAACAGCTGCACCGGCCAACCTAGCCACACTGGCGACCCGTGGGGCTCCTCAGCCTGGAATCTCCTGGTCTGTGGGCAATAAAAATCTGTCTGGAAATGCAGCCTCCACTCACCCTGTGCGCTTTCGCTGGGAGCTGCAATCTTGAGCTGCTCCTAATCGGCCATTTTGGATCCCTCCCTCCACTAGTCACATATTTTTTTTATTTTTTATTTTTTTGAGACAGAGTTTCGCTCTTGTTACCCAGGCTGGAGTGCAATGGCATGATCTCGGCTCACCTCAACCTCTGCCTCCTGGGTTCAGGCAATTCTCCTGCCTCAGCCTCCTGAGTAGCTGGGATTACAGGCACGCGCCACCATGCCCAGCTAATTTTTTGTATTTTTAGTAGAGACGGGGTTTCACCATGTTGACCAGAATGGTCTCAATCTCTTGACCTCGTGATCTACTCGCCTTGGCCTCCCAAACTAGTCACATTTTAAATGCACCATGACTATATGTGGAAAATTTTAGAATGTGAGTTGACAAATGTCTTTTGTAAAGGGCTATTGAATATTTAAAGCTTTGCAGTCCATACGGTTTTGGTCACAACCACTCCACTGTCCTGGTATAGCATGAAAATGGTCATTAGATATACATAAATATTGCCATGTTCCAGTAAAACTTTATTTATGGGTTCTGAAATAGGAACTTCAAGTAATTTTCATGTGTTTGAATTTTACTGTTTGAATTATTGAAAAATATTAAAACTATTTTAGCTAGTTTTTATAAAAATAGGTAAGATACGAGGCTTGCTGGGCATTGTGGCTCACATGTGTAATCCAGGTACGTTGGAGGCTAAGGTGGGTAGATAACCTAAGGTCGGGAGTTCAAGACTAGCCTGACCAACATAGTGAAACCCCATTTTATATGTAAAATAAAAATAAATAGAAATAAAAAAAAAAAAAGACACAAGGCTTAACCCATGCTCTGGGCCAGACAGAAATAATAGGATAGATGAAAAGAAAAAGGCACGGTTGTGTAGTTGATTGGGAAGTTTCTGTAGTACAAGGAGTTGAGAGAGAATTCATAGAGGGGTATAAATTGGAAATGAAGCCTGGTGACCTGCAGATGACTAGAAGAGGAATAAACAAACAAAAGGGCCTATACAGTATAGCCATTGGGGTTTGAGTTATAGTAACAATGTAAGAGCTCCCCAGCTACTAATGAAAGACTCAGTTTGGAGATTTGACCCTATCATACGTAGTTGAGGCAATTCTCATACCACATAATGGACAAGTGAGAGTTCAAGAGAAACTCTAATTAATGTAAGGTAATGTTTCAAACAAAAGTGACAGTACAGGCAAGAAGGATCAGCCAGAAACCATGTTGCAGAGTTCTAAGATACAGAAGGGAACTTTAAAGTTGTGCAAAGAATGTAAGCGTGTATTCAGAACCGTAAGGGATAAAGGACGAAAGCCATCAGAGATCATCAGAAAAGTCTTAAAACAACAGACTGCTGTGAAAAGGAGACACTTCATGGTCTTATACATTGGAAAAATAGTTCTAAGTGGGCTGCATAATTGGCTGTCACTTTCCACTAAATGAATTAGGAAATTAAACTTAGATGGTTGCCCAGAACACTAAAATTCCCCATAGTAATCAAGACATGGGATATATAAAGAAGAAATGAAAAGCTGTGGAATGAGTTAGGGAGTAAGTAAAGATGTGCAAAGCATTTATAAAGAAAACTATAAACTTTTCCAGAAGTCTTGAATAAATGGAGACACGTGATTTTTCTGGGGAAAACTTAGCTTTGCCAAAATGTCAGTTCTCCCTAAATTAATGTGTGTATTTAATATACTCTTGGTTGGAATATCCTCAGGTTTTGTTTTGAAACGTAAAAGTTTCATCTTGATGTTTGTCTCAGAAAAGTAAACAGAAAATTAATGGAAAACTAAAACTCAAGTGGAGGAGGAGGACTTGCTCAACCATATTGTTTCAGAGCAAAAGGGCTTGCTGCCTGATACAGTAGAAGCCAATGTTGTGGCATCAAGTTTTTGAGAAAAGGAAAGCTTTTTTTTGTAGGTCAACCAACAAGGAGACAGGAGTCCAGCTTTAAAAGGGCTGTGCTGGCTTTAAAAGGGAGTAATTTTTATTAGAAATGCCTTAAGGGATGGATTTTGAGATTATTAAGTGATGGTGGAAGGAATGGGGAGCCCTGGAAAGTCCTTAGCATGCACAGTTACCTCTTCATGCCTCCTCATGGGTCGCATGTACAAATTGTTGCAGGGGAGTTAGTATGAAATGTGGAAATTTGGGCTGTGATGTCAGCAGGCTTTTTCTGCAGACTCCATTTGTCCATATTGGTTTTAACCGATTTTAGCCAGTTTTGTTATCTTACAAATAGAGAGTTTCTGCATTTCTTTCTGCAAGTTATTTCTTTTTATATCTGCCTTCCTGCAAACTCAATTTTTACTAGTCATTGCTTTCTTTAACTTTTTGGAGCATGGTTTTAGTTTTTTAAAACAATTACTATTTATGATGATTAAAATAGTGTGGTACTGGACTCAAAATATACAAGTAGATCATTGAACAAGATCACTTGGAAATAGATCTGTGTGTGTTTGCGTGCTTGTTTAGGGTAGAGTGATGAGATGAATTTCAAATCAATGCCAAAAGAATGATTATTTGGAAAATAGCTTGGGGGTTATTGGGTCTCATTCCTAATGGATTGAAATTTTTAATGAGAAAAACAAAAGCATAAAAGATTGGATACATTTGTTTTGTTGATTGCCAAAGAACTGTGAATTAATACAAACTTTTTAAAATTTTTTAATTTATTTTACCTGTTAGGTTGGCAACTCATCAAAATGTTTGATAATATACTGTTTTGGCAGGATTGTAAATGGCACTCCTACTTTTGGAATCTAAACTAGTACAGTTTTCCTGGAATATAATCTAGAAATGTGGATCAAGAATTTATATGACAAAAACAGAAAAGTCAGGTGTGGTGGCACATGCCTTTTGTATGCTACTGGAGGTTGAGGCAGGAAAATCAGTTGAGCCTGGGAGTTTGAGACCAGCCTGAATCTCTCAAAATAGTGACATGTTGTCTCTTATAAAAGAGAATTTACGGTTTTGTTCTTTGAAATAAATTTTTGTAAGGATATTGTAATGTACAGACTTGTATAGAATGATTGCATTGCTTATTTATAGCAAAAGATTATGAACTATCTAAATATATTAAGGTAGTAGACTGATTATATCATGTTCCTTCTATACAGAAGAGTACATATTATGTAGCCGTTAAAAATAAAGTGGCTGGGCACGGTGGCTTACACCTGTAATCCCAGCACTGTGGGGAGATCAAGGCAGGTGGATCACTTGAGCCTAGGAGTTCAAGACCAGCCTGGCCAATATGGCTGAAACCTGTCTCTACAAAAAATACAAAAAAATACTGATATGGTAGTGCACACTTGTAGTCCCAACTGCTCAGAAGGCTAAGGTGGGAGGATCACTTGAGCCTGGAAGGTCAAGGCTGCTGTTTGCCATGATCATGCCACTGCACTCCAAGCCTGGGTGACAGAGCAAGACCCTGTCTCAAAAAAAAAAAAGAATAAACTATGTGTGTATCTGTAGACAGAGATCTGTGATTAATTGATAAGTGAAAAGGTGTATTAAAGTACCGTTAAAGGTTAGATTACAAAATGTATGAGTATGTGTGCATTGAAAAATTGAGGAGGATATAAAACATACCAGGAAAGGCTACATGAGGATTTTCACTTTCTACTTTATATCTCCCAGTATTTGAATTTTTAATAACAATCTTTTTATCATAAAATTATAAAATATTAAATAATTCTGACTTTTAGATTTTTTGAGTGAAAAGCTACTATTTACCAGTCGCAGTTCTAGCTCTCACATTTATTTTGTGCCAGTCACGTGCTAATACTTATTGTACAGTCATTTATTTTTTATTTTTGTATTTATATTTTTATTTTCCATAACATACCCCTAGCGACAGTATAGTTATGTCATAATTGGTATCACATTTAATTCTCACAATCATTTTGCAAAACAGCCATTTCTTAAATGAAAACTTTAGAGTTAGCGGTACATGCCTAAGGCCACTTAGTAAAAATTTGAACCATTATGCACACTCTTCTTCCCCCCACTTCACACCATATTCAGAGTAGAAACGTTTTTATCTAATGAAAAAAATCATACTTTACATTGTTGTTTATTATTTCTCCCTTTGTAAAATATAGCTGGTGTATTCTCAGCAGGCCTTGCTCCAGCTGCATTTGTGCCAAATCCATACATTATTAGTGCTGCTCCTCCAGGGACTGATCCATATACTGCAGCAGGATTGGCTGCAGCAGCTACATTAGCAGGTAACATACTATTTGTTCATCCTTATTATGGTTGCTTTTTATTGTATTTAATTTTGAGTGTAAGCTTTATTTTTATCCGTTTGGCCAATTTGAAATTCCTAAGAAAAACTGAAACATTATCCAGAATGAACTAAAGTTTCCAGGAAGTTAGTACTGTTTTTCAGCTGTAATGCTACAGGGAAAAACTTAAGCAATAACTTTTCCTCCTTTACGTAGTTGGTTTACATTTCAGCTTTATAGTTTTAGAAATCTGTTGTAAACCGTGAATCTCCATTTTAATGACCAATCCCATTACTCACAAAGACAATGGAAAGTAAAATTACTTATTAGAAAATAAAATAGAGGTAGGTGGCCTACATATGTAGGCCAGGGATAGAATAGAGAAAGGTAAACAGATACAGTAATTCTGAGAAAATATGTATCTAAAATTTCTTGAATAATGCTAAAATGTACAAACAAATTGGGGGACAGAAAGTTTGGATCAAGTTGTAAAGAACTTACTAAAAACCATTCAACCTGAGACTACCACACAGAATCTGAAATAAAAGCCAAAGCTGGCCCAGTGTAATCCTAGCTCTTTAGGATGCCAAAGCACCCAGCCTGGGTGACAAAGTGAGACTGTCTAAAAACAAAAGCAAAAAACTGTATTTATTGTCTTTATAAGTAAGGAAAAGTTGTGTCCTGATCAGGCAGCCTTATTTGAGCAAAGCAATTTGCTGATCTTAGTTAGGGTTGTTGGGAAGAGTTGGTTTCAGGTTGAGGTTCCAACAAAGACAGAAATGAGTTAGTCTGAGGCACAATTTATGTTGGTTATACAGGCAAGAATTTGTTGATTTCAGCCTTAGAATTTTGTTTATTGGAATGAGTCTGCTAATGGGCTGACTTTCAAAACTTGAGGCTGTCACTGGTTTTTTTGGCTTTAAGTGATATCTTCACTGAGTACTGTCACTAATCAGTTTGAAATCCACTTCTGACAGTCTTTTCTCAGGAGACTGACTTTTAAAGTCAAGATCTTGTTTTAAAAAGCAGGGGGAAGAAATTTCAAATTTATATTTGATATCTTAGCTACCAGAATGAAACTAAGCTGTCATTCATTCGCTTTTGGTGTAGACTTGGGTATGATTTTATAAGGATGCGAGCTTTTTTGGTTCCCTTTAACTGGATGGTAATATGTAAAGTGTGTTATACTACAGAGAACCATTAACAGGTGGGCCTAAAAGAAGTAACTTTAAGAGGTCTTTGAGTTTGTGTATAAGCATTCTATGCATTTTGGACCTAGGCTTTCTAGGACCAGCACTGTCCAGTAGAAATACAATGTGAGCGAGAAAATGTAGTTTAAGATTTTGTGCTACCCACATTATAAAAATAAAAAACAATAAAATTAATTTCAGTAATATTGTTTGGTTTGTCCCAGTGTATCCAAAATATTATAATTTTACAATGTCAATAAATTCAGGCTCCTGGCTAGGTTGGATGAGTTTCTAGGTAGATGTCATTAATAGAGTTTATAAAACTCTATTGTTTTATTTTTATAATGTAGCCTTTTTTGGGTAAACTCTATTCAGTGTTTTAATAGCTCTCATTTTAGGTTCAGCTTACCTGACTGTCAACTGTCAGAAATATTATATTTTGGCTTTTAAGTTTTGAAAGCTTTTTATTTTAGTGATTCAGTCAAATATACTGAGCTTTTTTCCCCTTTGAATGCTACAGGAAACCGAGAGTTTGTCTTTTAAAAATGCATTAATATAAATTAAGATGTCCTAAAATTCTACTGATACGGTTTTAGGACATGTTTGTTATGTAAGTCGGGAATCATGGCATTTTATTAATTACTTTAATGGTGAAGCTTATTACACATAAAACTACTCTCCAGGAATCAAATATTATCTTGAATAAAGTAGACTAGAGCAGGAACATTTCAGTTTTATTTTCCTAGTTTGCCTTCTTCTGTTTTTCTTTGTACTTATATTATCTCGTTTTTTCTTGTGTTGACTCAGTTTCGTTTTCCTAACTACATAAACACTGATATCTCATTTGTTTTCATATAATTTGCAGTTACTTTGTGATAATTTTGACTAACTCTAAAATATGAAAAATATCTTAAAATAAGGTTTTCAAGCATGCTTGGTACCAGAATGTTCCCAGTTTTGTGTAACAGATTGGAAAGTAAAATATTTAAAAATTATTTTGTGGCCGGGCGTGGTGGCTCATGCCTGTAATCCAAGCACTTTGGAGGCCAAGGCAGGCGGATCACCTGAGGTCGGGAGTTCAAGACCGGTCTGACTAACATGGTGAAATCCCATCTCTAAAAAAATAAAATAAAATAAAATAATTTTGTAATTTGTCTTTGTAGTCAGAAAATTGACTATTAAATGTTATTAAATGTTGAATAGATAGTTAAATGTCCTGTCAGTTTATTGGTAGCCTTGAGGTTGGGTTCTCATCTTTGCCCTTCAAGACTGTTGCTGTCACACATCAATACTTTGTCTTTTATTATAAAGACATGTTCTTCTCTAAGTCTTTTTCCTGCCCCCTTTATAATCTAATGATAGGCAACTAATCTCATGTCTCTATAAAATTTAATAACTTTTTTTGGGGGGTTGGGTGTGGGGTTTAGGTCCAGCGGTGGTTCCACCTCAGTATTATGGTGTTCCATGGGGGGTGTATCCTGCCAACTTATTTCAGCAACAGGCTGCAGCTGCGGCAAATAACACAGCCAATCAGCAAGCAGCATCACAAGCTCAGCCTGGACAGCAACAGGTAGGCCTGCCTTTTATTAAGTAATACCAAGTATTCTTTGAAATTCTTTGAGCTCCTGATGTTTAAGGTTTATGTTTTTTGACTTTTGTTTTCTCAGCATATAACGTGATACCTGATGTATAGTTGATACACAAGTATTTATGCATGATTTTTTTTTTCCTAATCAGTATTATATGAATTTAAAGATTTGTTTGTATTCAGTTTCTGTTATTTTGCAGTCTTGAAATCTCTAGCAGTTTCTAAATTTCTTTTCATCACTTTTTATTAGTATGTTAATAATGTTCCTATTAAAATAATTATTCAAGTATTTAAATTACAATCTCTCTTCAAAAGAACTTGGTAAATGTTAAAACACTATAATAAATATCAGAATTCTGGTTGTCACATTCCTTGTATTTATATCAAAGAAGCAGGTGAATTACAAGTATGGTGTTTCTTACTAGGAAATTAAACTTTATTTTGAATTTCCTTTAATATATTTTAATTCTTTACTCTTTTTTTTTTTGAGACAGTCTTACTTTGTGCCTAGGGTGGAGTGTAGTGGTGCGATCTCACCTCACTACAACCCCCACCTCCTGGGTTCAAGCGAGTCTTATGCCTCAGTCTTTCCCAAGTAGCTGGGATTACAGTTATGTGTCACCACGCCCTGCTCATTTTTCTATTTTTAGTAGAAATGGTGTTTTACTGTGTTGGCCAGGCTGTTCTTGAAGTGTTGGGATTACAGGCGTGAGCCACTGCACTCAGCTAACATTTTAATTCTAAATAGATGTTCTGTTGAAGCTGTCTTTGACTCAGTCCTTTAGTCACTTCATTGTTTAATAAATTATTTTTTAATCTGTATCTTTGGACAAACATTTGTCACATTAGCTTAAAATATGCACACCTGTGTTTGATGCTTACTTATACGGAGGGACTTAAAATGACTCCCTCTTGTCCTGAGTTGTTTAAAATTAATGATTAACTTTATCATGCTTGTGCATGATTGCTACAACAGCTATTTATTCCAGAATAGTAAACCTTGACCAAGACTAAGTTTTCATATAATCTTGTGTTCTTTTTTAAATATATGTTTAAAAGCAGCTTTTGCCCACTGTTATTAAGGCTTCTGAATCCTGAAAACTTGGTTTGGTCTGCATCAGTCTCATAACAAATTCACAGTTTATTTGCCTAATCTTTCCGTATTTCTGTTTTCAGCCTGAGAAAATAATTTTAATACAATCTAATTTTAGGCCAGGCGCAGTGGCTCCTCCCTGTAATCCCAGCACTTTGGGAGGCTGAGGCACGTGAATCACTTGAGGTCAGGCGTTCAAGACCAATCTGGCCAACATGGTGAAACCCCATCTCTACTAAAAATACAAAAACTTAGGCATGGTGGCGTGTACCTGTAGTCCCAGCTACTGGGGAGGCTGAGGTGGGAGAATCACTTAAACCCAGAAGGCAGAGGTTGCAGTGAGCCAAGATCATGGCATTGCACTTCCAGCCTGTGCGACAGAGTGAGGCTTTGTCTCTAAAAGAAAAAAGAGAGAGGAAAAAACATCTAATTTTAAAGTCTTTTATCTAAGATTTTGCCATTCCTCCCAGTCCCAAACAAATCTTAAAACAAAAAAAAAAACCTACTAACCATCAGCAGTGGGCCTGGCAGCTGAGCTTTAGGGCTCCACGAACCAACTTGGGGCCGGGGGTCGAGGAGGTGGGGGATCAGGCAGCTGAGGCCAGGACTTTGGCCCCCTCCTGAGTGAGCCGCAGGGCAGCGGCATGCGGAGCAGTAATGGCGACGCAAGCACCTGGGGTCCTTTTATGAAAAACCTCCTCCTGGGTTTATCAAGGAAGATGAGACTAAGCCAGAAGATTGCATACCAGATGTACCAGGCAATGAACATGCCAGGAAATTTCTGGCTTGAACACCAACTAAAGGACTTCAGATGCCACTGGGGAAAGAAGTCAAAGTTATGCAGTTACTTTTCATTGGACTGCTTCATAATTTCTTGGTGATGGAACAGTCATTTCTAAAGCAACAAGATTAAAGGATGTTTGGGTTGGCATTGCGAATGGTATAGTCACCGAATCGGCGACAAAGAATGCCCTTTCTTTATTAGAGGCAACCAGAAGTTAAAACAGTTCAGAGTAGCACGTGAAGATCCCATGGATGACATCATATGAGGCAATAAAAGACATGAAAAGGATGTAAAGATACAGCAGTTAAAACAGTTACTGAAGGATTCTACCTCAGATGAAGATGAGAGCAGCTCCAGTTCCTCTGAAGTAAAGAGAAATACAAGAAAAAGAAGATTGAAAGAAAAGAAAAAGAAGAAAAAACGGAAGCACAAATCTTTCAAGTCAAATGAGAGTTTTGACTCAGAGTAACAAGGACTTGACTTTTCAACATTCACTTCTCAAAAATTAAACATTGTGGCCAGTGAACAGAGGAGGATGCAGTCAGAGAAAGTACCAGGATAGAGATGCATCACCTGCCTTCCAGTGAAGATGTGGCCCCAGGAGAGGGCGTGTCTCCTTCCAGGTGCTAGCTCTGGACGGAGGCTGATTTTAGGCAGGAAAGATTCTTTGATGTCCTCCCTGCTGGTCACATGAGTTTACGATTCCTTTAAAATATCTTCCACAAGGTGGCAGTACTGAGGTAATCTCTGAGGTGCATCTTCAGGCCCTGCCAGAGCTTGTGCCCTCCACAGTGCGGACTCAGTTCCCATGGACATCAGGCTGGAGTCTACTCTGTTTTCAACAATAATGAAAGCTCATTATCATTATTATTTTTTTAACGACCTTGTTAAAGAGCACAAATATTAGAAATAGTTTTTAACTAAAGATTTTCTATAACCTCCATGTTGCTTTATAGATTGTTCTAGATAAGAGCTAGTGATTGTGTTTTTGATGTTAATGTATTTTGTGATTTTTCATGCTAAATCTACATTTCCTTGCTGTAAATGTTTAAAGACTATTCAAAAGCTATTTGTAATAAATACACGGTTGTCCAAGATAAATTTACTTATCTGTTTTTATATTGATTTTAAGAAAATTGTTTTACCTTTGTAGGTTCTCCGTGCTGGAGCAGGTCAGCGTCCTCTTACTCCCAATCAGGGTCAGCAAGGGCAGCAAGCAGAATCACTTGCAGCAGCTGCAGCAGCAAATCCAACTTTGGCTTTTGGTCAGGGTCTTGCTACTGGCATGCCAGGTATACAATTGGTCATTTGTGGAAATTTGAATAGATTTAAAATGTCAAGTGCAGGTACTCACACTGAAGAGTGAAAAAAATCAAACTATTTAAAATCTTGCCTACCTTGTAAAAAAATATTTAGAGCGATAGGACACGGTGGCTCACGCCTGTAATCCCAGCACTTTGGGAGGCTGAGCCGGGTGGATCATGAGGTCAAGAGATTGAGACCATCCTGGTCAACAAGGTGAAAACCCGTCTCTACTAAAAATACAAAAATGAGCGGGGCATGGTGGTGCACGCCTGTAATCCCAGCTACTCAGGAGGCTGAGGCAGGAGAATTGCCTGAACCCAGGAGGCAGAGGTTGCAGTGAGCCGAGATTGTGCCATTGCACTCCAGTCTGGGTAACAACAGCAAAACTCCGTTTCAAAAAAAAAAAAAATTTAAAACTCAGTTGCTAATAATTGAAATCAGTATTGATTGTGAGACTCAATGACAGGAATGGCAAATATGTATCAGAATTCTCAACAGAGCCATTTTTCATAACATCTTTATATCTAAACCTAGCCCAGAATTTTTGATATATTGCTTCACAAAGTAAAACCAGTTGTCAAGAGTTGATATGCAAGACAGAACCTATTTGCCACTCCTGTCTCGTAAGAATAGTCATTTAGTTAATACCAGAAGAGTTTGCAGCTAATGTCCCTTAATTTGAACACTGTTTAATCTTGTTTAGCCCATTTCTAGTCTTTAAAACTATTACTTATAACTTAATAGCAACAGTGTCTATAATGTGTCTGTGAAAGCCTAATATAAAAAATTATAGTATAAAATTTCTATTCATTGCTACTGGACAACTTTTGGGAAAGGGCAACAAAGTACTTTTTTGTGAAATGATTAAAATCACTGATAATAATAGAGGAAGGAGGGTTTTTTCCTAAGTCAAAAAATGCAGCACTTGTTTTTAAAATTTTAAGCTATATTTGTTAATATCCGTAGATAAGGCATAACTTGCCATTCTCTTTACTTTGAAGATGTAAGTATGCTTTTTTTCACTTTTGGTATATCAGTGGTTGTCCCTGTATGGGTTACTTATTAATGATATTTGAGTTTCAATTTCTATTTAATTGTAATGCAGTTTACTTTTCTATTCAGACTGTTTTGGAAATATGTTCAGTGTATTGGAAGAAAATAATGACTTGCGTGATTGAGTTTCTTTTATGTATTAAGTACTTGTAAATACTTTGGCATGTTTGAAGGATTTCTATTTCAATTACATTCATTCTGTTTTCCCTGGAATTCTCTAAGATCTGAATTTATCATCTTGTCTTTCACCGGATGAAGAGAAGATTTTCATCCTGCTGTCCCTGAAATACAAATGATAGTAGAATGGGTGGCATTCTCATTATTTTACTTTTTATACTCCAGCCATATGTTTTTCATACTCCAGCCATATATTTTTGCTTCCTAGACTCTACTGTCATGGAGTCATTGTGGATTAAAGACCTTGGCAAAAGCAGACTTTTGAGAAATGGACTGTGAAGCTGAAGTTGTTTTAGGCACTTGGAGGTTGGGCTGAAAAGAAGTGAGCTGGGAGTTTTTGAGGACCACTAAGACTATTTTGGGTCCTTAGGTTTTAGCAATATGTAGAATGGGGAAAGGAGTTATGGAATTCAACAGTTTTTACCTGCTTTAACTTCCTCTGTAGAACCTGGAATTAAGAGAGTGCCTCTGGCCTGCATGTATTTGCTGTGTCCTGTGACTGTCATTGATCCTCCTAGGCTCCTGATGCTTGCCCTGTTAACTCATTTCTTATAAAATACCTTTGTTCTTTTATATTCAGCTCATAGTTTTATTTCTTCTTCTTTTCTTTTTTGAGATGGAGTCTTGCTCTGTCACTCAGGCTGGAGTGCAGTGGTGCGATCTTGGCTTACTGCAGCCTCCACCTCCTGAGTTCAAGCAGTTCTTGGGCCATGATGCGATCTCAGTTCACTGTAACCTCGGCCTTCTGGGTTCAAGCAATTCTTGTGCCTCAGCCTCCCTAGTAGCTGTGATTTCAGGGGCGTGCCACCACAATGGCTAATTTTTGTATTTTTTGTAGGGACAGGGCTTCACCATGTTGGCCAGGCTGGTCTCAAACTCCTGACCTCAAGTGATCCACCTGTCTCGGCCTCCCAAAGTTCTGGGATTTGAGCCACTGCACAAATAAAATCAAAGTATTTTGCTCTTAATTTCATCAACTTCAATCTTAGAATTTAGTTTTATATTCATATTTCTTCTTTACCTTCTCTGAGAAAGCTCTTTTTCCTTTCTCTTTTGCTGCTGTTCAATAGTGAATTCTGTTAACAATTATAGAAAAAAGCAACCTTTTCTGTATTTGTCTAAAAACAGTTTATTATATCTTTTTAGTGATGATAAAAATAGGTAATACATGTCTTAAAGTGTATTACTTAATATTTTGAGCCACAACCTTTAGCTTTTTTAGAAATATAAACGTAAAAACTACTCATAAGAAGGACCTTATTAGAATTTATATTTGTATGTTTCAGTGACTTTTGGGCTGTTCACATGATCCGCTCACACTAAAATTTTCTTTGATGCCTTCTTTACTTCATTCTGCCTAGGCTGTGATAATAAAATAATCCCATATCCCCCCCCCCAAATAGTTACATAGTTATAAAGCTAATGTGTATACTAAAATGTTCTCAGTTGAGAAAATTGTTGTTTCTTCAGGTCTCAAACTTTAACTCTTCTTTGTAGCTTTCTTCAGTGCTTTATCAGATCCCTAGTTATTATCCTGTACTTAACTCTTCTGCTTTATCCTGTGTGCTATTGTTTTTCTGTCTTGAATGTTCAGTCTTTCCCCTCTTCCTTTCACCCACTGTGCTGGTCTGCCTGTTCATCCTAAAAAGCTTTATCTCTATACTGTGCTTCTCTCATGGGCTGCTTGTCAAAATTTATACTCTACCCCATACCTCTTTTAAATTCTGCCTCTCTTTGTAGTATCTCTGTTGTAACTTAGTGACAGTTACAAAGTATAATTTCCTCTGTATCTTTTTTTTTTTGGCTTAGTCTGTTGACCATGTCCAACTCTTTGTAACTCCTTCTGCTGAGACTAATAAAAAAGCATTTCACTCATAGCCTTTTCACCTCTCAATGCTTTTTTATTAGTCTCTGCTTCCTCTATGTATATCCTTAAATATGAAAGACAGTCTGCTTAATGGTTACCTTCTTTAGAGTCAATTTGCTGTATTTCCACCGTATAGCTATTGTGTAACCATGGCCAATTTATTTTCCTCTTTCAATTTTGGTTTCAGTATTGGAAAATGAAGATACTTTACATTTTATTTCTTAGGAGAGTATATTTGCCTTAATCCTTTCAAATATCCCTGTGAGTTTACATCTGCATCTTGGATTTTTTTCCTGAACATCTAATACGTGTCTGTCCTTGTACCAAACATTTCTCTTATATGTTGCAGGCACTCCTCAAATTGAAAAATGTCAGAAAATGAACTCATATTTCCAAATTTTCCTGCCTACTGTTTACCCTGTTTCACTTTACTGTTCTTTAGAACTAGAAACTCTTAGCTTTAACCTCAAAGTTATCTTTAACTATTTATTGGTTTTCTCCTGCACCTCTGCATCCAGTAACTTGCCAGTTCTCTACCATTCTGTCTCATGGTCATTTTTATTTTTATAGAGATGGTGTCTATAGCCAGACTAATCTTGAACTCCTGGCTTCAAGCAATTCTCCTGCCTTGGCCTCCCAAAATGCTGGGATTATAGGCCTACCAAATCTCTCGAATTCCTTCGAAGTCCTTTGCTTTAATGCACTAGACTGTATACTGTTATCCAGACATAACATGCACTTCTGTGGCTCTAGTCCTAGTTGTGTTCATTTTTTTTTTTTTTTTTTTACTTAAAATACCCCTTTATGAATTTTAAACAAAATTGGTGTATATAATTTTTGCTTTTTAAAAATCTAGCTTTATAAACATTTAGTGATTAACTTTCCTTCTCGTCTTTTTTTTTTTTTTTTTTTTTTTTTTTTAAGACTGGTTTTCGCCCTTGTTACCCAGGCTGGAGTGCAATGGCGTGATCTCGGCTCACTGCAACCTCCACCTCCTGGGTTCAGGCCTTAGCCTCCTGAGTAGCTGGGATTACAGGCACGTGCCACCATGCCCAGCTAATTTTTTGTATTTTTAGTTGAGATGGGTTTTACCATGTTGACCAGGATGGTCTCGATCTCTTGACCTTGTGATCCACCCGCCGAGGCCTCCCAAAGTGCTGGGATTACAGGCTTGAGCCAGGGCGCCCGGCCCCCTTCTCATCTTTTAATATGGTCCCTTTCGTGAAGCTTTTCTAGATCTTTCTCAGTGCTCATTCATTGATAATTACTTCCTTGTCTGCCCTCTTTGGCATATTACTCGAACCTTTCTTTACTACTTCTGTCTGCCTTGCATTTTGTTGAGCTGTTTGTGGTTTATTTTCACCATTCTACAACACTTATTTTAATGTGGTTGTAGATAGGAAATGTTTTAAAGTTAGAGTTTTTTTTTATTCTGAAGGGAAGTTGTTAGATCTGTCATATGTTAAAGTAAGTGACATTTTAGAATTAAGAAGGGGGGTTGTTTCCTCCTCTGCTAGATTGCACAGTTCTTGAGTATGAGAACTATTTTTTTTTTTTTCAATTTCCCATGTCTTGTCTTCATATCATTCTTTCCTACCTCTTTTTTTTGCCTTTTCCCACTCTTCTTACATCCCCCTAACCAGTCACAGACTTTCTCAGTAACAAAAAGATAATTCAGATGAGATCAGGCCCAGACAGAGTTGTATGGCCATAGACAAAAAGATAATTCAGTGGAAATTAGCAACTTTTGAACGGAATTATAGTGAAAATGCTACATAAACTTGTGGATTAGAACACAAACAGAACATAGAGAATATGTAGGTTTTAATGATTACATTAGAAAATTAGAAAGACTGGAAATGAACAAGCTAAGCATTTATCCAGAAACTATAAAAAGAAGAGAATAAAACCAAAGACTGTAGAAGGAAGCAAATAATAAAAATAGGAGAGCTGGTATGAGTAAAATAGAGAATAAACAGAATGATTAATTATCCCAGGAATTTCTTTGAAAAGACAATGGCGTTGACAGCCTCAGAGACTCATCAAAAAAGAGAAGGCATAAATAATCAATAACAGGAAAATTAAGCTATCATTAGCTATTAGGAACAATCTCACGTTAGCAAATTAGAAAATGTAGACTGGATAAATTATGATGTCTTATCTTTATCATAAATAAAAACTCTGTTCTTAACAATTCTTATGCCAAAAAATAGGGGGAATCCTTGACTCCTTTCTTCCTCCCATCCCACATCTAATCTTAGCAAATCTCGAGGGCTCTCCAAATTCAACTACCTTTCTACTGCCACTTCTCTTTTGATTTGGTCCTCATTACTTCTCCCCTAGATTCACATTCCATCAGGATTCTCACATGTCTTCTTGTCTCTCTTTTCTCCCCTATGGAGTCCACTCTCTACACAGTAACTTGAGTGTAAGAAAAGTCAAGGTAACTCACTCCTTTCCTCAAAACTCTAATAGTTTCCTGCCTGAAGTCAGAGTAAAGGCTCACGTTATTAGACCGTGTGCGGTGAATCACGCTTGTAATCCCAGCACTTTGGGAGGCTGACGGTGGTGGATCATGAAGTCAGGAGTTCAAGACCAGCCTGGTCAACATGGTGAAACCCTGTCTTATTAAAAAAAAAAAAGAAAAGGAAAAAAAAAAATATAGATATATATATATAAATTAGCTGGGTGTGGTGGCATGTACCTGTAATCTCAGCTACTAGGGAGGCTGAGGCAGGAGAATAGTTTGAACCTATGAGATGGAGGTTGCAGTGAGCCAAGATCGTGGTACTGCACTCCAGCCTGGGCAACAGAGCAAGACTCCATCTCAAAACAAATTTTAAAAAGCTCAAGTTATTCTAGTGACCTGAAAGGATCTGGCCCCTTGTTGCCTGTCTTACTCTTCACTCCATCTCTCTTTCAGTCGTACTGGCTCACTTTCTATTTTCTCTATTTGGAGATATCTTACTACAGATACCTGTTTGACTAATTCTCTGAGTTTCTTTAGATTTTTCCTCATAGGTCATCTTGTTACAGAGATTTTTCATAACCCTTAGCTTCAAATTATTAACACTCTTGTCATTGCCCAATATCTTCTATCGACTTTCCCTGTCTGATATTTCTCTCCTTTTAATATGTAAAAGTATCTAACATATCTTTTTACTTGGTTTTTATTTATCTCACTTGGAACAGAAAATAATCTCCTCAAGAATAAGGATATTTTTCCCTGCTTTATCCCAGTACTTAGAATAGTGCCTGGCATGTGGTAGCCACTTGATAAATATTTGTCAGATGGATGAATTCATGAAAAATTAAGCTAAGTACAGAATGAGAGTGGGGAAGAATATCATTCTGTGACAAAGGAAGAGAATACACCTGTACTGAGGGGAAATTTGGTACCTCTGTGCTGAGGGAAAACGTGGTACCTCTGAGGAGTTTTAACCTTCATTTTTCCCAAAACATAAAAGCTACGAGAATACCAGGTAAAACTAGAAAGACAGCCAGGAACCAACCAGATCATGTTGTGGGCTATATTCAGAGTTTCGCTTTTCCTTTCAAACCTTTTAGAAGGTTTGGAGCGAGAGTGTGGATTGATACCTTTGAATATCAATCTCAGACCACAGTCTTTGTGGAGAGTGTGTTACAGACATGGGACAGAAGAGCAAGGGCAGACCATATAATATGATTGGACAGGAAAGTAGCCATCAAGAGAATGGATGGATTTGAGAAAGATTTAGAAGGTAAAGAACAGGTCTTCAGAGATGAGCTGACTATTGGTTGTTTCCTATCTGGGAATGTATATATGCTTTTTAGTTAAGTAGCAGTTAAGTGCTGTTTGATTCATCTGGACATATGGTTTTTAGCCATATGTCCAAATGGATTTACTTTTATTTTTAATTCAAATTCAGATGTTAAGTAAATGGCAATGTGTTTGAACAAGAATATTTTCTATGTATGTTAGATTTAGGACTAGACCACATATACCAGTTAAGACTATTGACTGGTAGGTATGTCTTGACATTTACTAGTAATGTAGATGTTTTATTAGCAATGTGCTAAGGCTTATTCTTGGTCAGAATTCTTGTATTTACTAAAAACAACCTTTGCATGTAAAAGTGTCACTCTTATAGTTGACTTGTTTATCTGAGCACTGTTTATTATATTTGAACTGATGTTAGCTTACTGTGTTTAAAGGTAATAAAATGTTCATGCTGCATTATCACTCATTTTACTGTAACTCACTTCTGTATAGAATTAACAAAAGAAGACTTAAAAATTGATGTTGGGATGTATTTCAATATAGTCTGTGTTTTTAAAAAACTTCTTAAAGGGCCAGACACAGTTGGGAGGCTGAGGCCGGGGAGCATCACTGGCCCAGGAGTAAAAGACTAGGCTAGGCAGCGTAGTGAGGCCCTATTTCTATGGAAAATAAAAAGAAATTAGCCAGGCCTTGTGGCATGTACCTGTAGTCCCAGCCATTTAGGATGCTGACGGAGGAGGATCATGTAAGCCTAGGAGTTCAAGGCAGCAGTGAGCTATGATTATGCCACTGTGCTCCAGCCTGGACAACAGAGCAAGACACCACTCTCAAAGGGAAAAAAAATCATTGCCAAAACATTTTTTGCTGATAGTTGTAAGATTAGTGAGCCTCAGTTTTTGTCGCTTTATAAGGCAGCCTTTCTCAACTGAGTTCCAGAAAAGAGTAACGCCTGATTCTTACTGCTCTAAAGTATCCACAGTTTATATAGTTAACTTTTCTCCTGTGATTCCAGAGTGGTTCTTGTTACATACCATCCTTGGGAAAATTAACAAAATACTCACTTAAATCATTTTCTGTGTTTTTGGTTCAACATTTTGAGTCTCCATTGAGAAAGGCTGTTAAGAAGTTAACTTTATTCTCCACTAGTTGGGAAGAATGCAGATTTACCTGCCTTGTGCTTAAGGCTGCAGTAAAACTAAAGCCTGTGTGATTTTTAATTAAACTCTAGCTTGATAATCTTCACAAATAGAATATTTGGTTTAAGTTTTTACACATAAAAATCTAAGGGAATGCTGACAATGAAGCACTTGGTTTTCAACTTTAAAGAAGTTACATAGTAAACATTTCTTAGTGTTCTACCTCACTACTCCCAGTTTGTTTGTTTTTTTTAGTTAATTAATTGTTTATTTTGAGACAGAGTTTCACTCCTATTGCCCAGGCTGGAGTGCAGTGGTGCTATCTCAGCTCACTGCAACCTCCACTTCCCGGGTTCAAGCAATTCTCCTGCCTCAGCCTCCCTAGAGCTGGGATTACAGGCATGTGCCACCATGCCTGGACAGTTTTTGTATTTTTAATAGAAATGGGTGTTCACCATGTTGGCTAGGCTGGTCTTGAACTCCCAGCCTCAGGTGATCCACCCACCTGAGCACCAATCCCAAAGTGCTGGGATTACAGGCTTAAGCCACCACACCTAGCCTAACTCCCAGTTTTTTTAATCCATCCTCTTCAAAGAACTGACTAAATGGTGATTTTTTTTTTCTAATATTAGCCCTTCGTTCATGGCCTGTAGTTTCTATATAAAGGAAAATAACTCTTCATTTTGTGGCCCCTAAGTAAAATTTAGAGAAAAAATGTTTATTGACTTTCTATTCCTTTTTTATACATTTAGTAAGACCTCATCAAATGTGTTGCTTTGCATATCTTAACTAAGGATTTTATAGTAAAGTATAAATAGCTGTGTTTTCTGGTTGACAAAAATACAAATGCAAAGAAAAATAAATATGCATATTTTTATAATAAGTGCTTTCATTAGTAAACATTTATTTTAATGTTATTTAGGCTATCAAGTACTAGCTCCAACTGCCTATTATGATCAGACTGGTGCCTTAGTGGTTGGCCCTGGAGCAAGGACTGGCCTTGGAGCTCCAGTTCGATTAATGGCTCCAACACCTGTTTTAATTAGTTCAGCGGCAGCACAAGCTGGTAAGTATAACTGATATTTTTAGGATACATTTTTCTGGTGTTGAGATATGATTTTTAAAATACAGAATAATTTTCTGGGTGGTTTAAAGAAGTATCTGAAATTTATTTTACAGCAGCAGCAGCAGCAGCTGGAGGAACTGCAAGTAGCCTTACAGGCAGCACAAATGGTCTGTTTCGGCCACTTGGCACTCAGCCACCACAGCAGCAGCAACAACAGCAGCCAAGCACTAATCTGCAATCTAATTCATTTTATGGAAGTAGTTCTTTGACTAATAGCTCCCAGAGTAGTTCTTTATTTTCTCATGGACCTGGTCAACCTGGAAGTACATCTCTTGGCTTTGGAAGTGGTAACTCTTTGGGTGCTGCTATAGGCTCAGCCCTCAGTGGATTCGGGTCATCAGGTAAGTTTGTTTTTACGATGTGTGTACTCTGCTAAGTGGAAGGAGGTATATGAGTGTGTTTAACTTTAAAATAAGCAATAATAACATGTAGTTTAGGAAGGACAGGAATAAAATACCAGACTACTGGTTTAATTTTGTAGGGAAAAAAAAGATCCTGCAGATCTTCTCAACACTTACCAATTTTTAACTCACTACAGGCAGCCCGTTCTTTACTCATATATAATACATTTCCTTTTCCCCCTGGCTCTAGGAACTGATTACATAATTTTTGTTTTAGTAAGGTTTATTTGGGTCAATATATTATTTACTAATTATTAGCTCATCTTCATTCACTACATAATGTTTGTGGAGGTATATTTTGCCATCTTAAATTTTTCATATTTTAAAGCAGTTATCTTTGTGTGCTTATTAGATGGTTTATTCTTATTAAATTCTGGTAGTTTATTAGCTTTTGATTTGGCGTAATATAAAAAATACATATGTATGTGTATAAATAATGAAATGTTCTAAACAGAATCCCCTAAGAAACTACCGGTATAGTTACATTTTTTTGGATTAAATAAGTTAGCCTTTGTCACTAGAAATTTACTGAAAAGGTATCTTATTCATATATCTTAGCTTTATATAATAACACTTAAGAAATCAAAATTTTAAGTAACTTCACAAAATAAATAATTGACCCACTCAAACTGGTTCCTAGATCCTGTGATACAGGAACCAAGTGAAATTGGAGGACGCCCACGTTGACTTCTTGTTGATAACACGTGGTATGTTCTGTGAGGTTTCCACAGTACTTGGGAAGCAGGGATAAAACAGCTGACCCAGTTCTAGTGGTGCAATTGGCAGCCTTTTCTTCATGAGGATAGGGCTATTTGGACCTCAAGAGATTTTGTTTCTATAACATAACTTGCTACAATCCTTAATATCTGTTTCTCATCTCTTTTTCTACCACATCAAGTTATTATATTATTTTCTGGTGTGGAAAATGGCAGAACTAACACATGCCAGGCATTATTAACAATGCTTGCCAGTTTTCTAAGGGAGTGTCTTCTGAACTTTCATCATTCATATATACAGGAAGGATGGTCTAGAACAGCCATAAATTTTTAGATGCAAAATCTTTTTTCATTTATTATAATGAAATATAATAAGCAAATATCATACCTGACTGACTTAAAATTATGTAAAGACTGTGCGTAAGAACTATGGGAAAATCAGTGAACATAGGGATTGTTAAATCTTTTTTGTACTTGTTTTTTTCATTGCTTTTGGAGTTTTGTATCTCTCTGTCCACCTCATGCACTCTCATAGAGCTCATTCCTTGTTTCTAATACAATTGGGACATTTACCCCAAAGAATCCTAAATATTCTGAGAAAAACTGAAAGAACAAGTAACATAAAAAAACAAACTTGTGGAAATAGTTTCTAAACTATAAATGATAGGCCCTAACTAATCCAGAAAAAAGAGAGCATTGATTAAACCCCATGTTTCCTTTCTCACGTAGTATGTCACTGATGTCTGATAAAACTCCTACTCAGTTCTTTCAAATTTCCATTTGTTTCTTAGTTAAGGCTATTTTTCCCCTTTAAGGAATTGATTGACATGAATATTTTGTCCCCTGCAGATGCCCTGTTTGCCCAGAACTAACCTTCACACCTCCATTATTTACAAGCGTGGCTTATAATTCTGACTCCAATCTATACAAGCTTCATTTTACCTTGCTTTAGAGAGCATTAATGATGGCCACCCCTGAATGCCAGTGAAGAGTCCATCATCTCCCTCCTCTTTGGCATTTTTTGGGAATTTATTCAGGTGCCACGCATACGGACTCTTACACATTTGCTCATGGCCTTCTCACATTATGACAATTACATACTTACATGAGATCTAAAACATATGGTTGTGTGCCTGTATACACATGTACAAGTAACATACACTGTCATTCTCTTACCTCTATGATGAAATTGTTAATGTTTAACAGTGTTAAATACCCCATTTTATGATATAGTTGGCCAGGAAGCCTAACCATTGTAACATATAATTAAATCATCTTTTCTATGACCTGTTATTTTTTTTTAAAGTGCTGTTACAATTGAAAGTTTGTAATTTAGCCCTTTTTACACAGTCAGTGAATTATTAGCAGTCTGTCTAGACTCTTAGATATTTTAGGTACACTTTGGTTCATATTTCATAGTCATATTGTTGGAGATAATTTAGGCATATAGTAAAACTTAAAGAGCCAGCTTCTTTATGTTTAAGGTTATTTCTGAATTATTTTAAAATGCTTGGCTTGGCTTTTCCTTTTTGGAGGAAAATAATATTGCATGTGTCAAAACTGGTTTCTCGGATTATTTGTCAAGGGAATAATAATACTGCTGCTCTCATTAGAGAGTGGTTGTCTTTTTTATTGTCAAATTGTTTTATGAAATAAATAGAAATTTAAAATTAGCCATATTTTAGGAAAATCACTTTGACAGTGTCCTTTTAAATTAGCATAGTTAATACAGCATACATTGCCAGTTTTGCCAAAACCAACTGAAAAACAGCTGTTTATTACATGTGTTTATAATTTATTTTTGCTATAAAAATACATACAGACACCTAATATTTTCTTACTGTGATATCTTAAAATGTAAAATTTCCAACAAAACATGGTCAGTCTCAAACTGCATTGGCTGGTATAAAAGGTTGAATAGCATTATAATCTTTTGCCTAATGTGGTAGCATAAGCCTGGTTTTTTTTACCCCTTTATAGAATTTTGAATTTGGCAAAACCAACGTAATTAAGTTTTCTGTCTCTATTATGCTCTTACCTTGGTCAACCTACGAAGTACTCTCCTTAATTTTTTTCTTCATACTCTGTGACCTACCTATATATGACTTGTGATTAAATAAGATTTAACAGAAACTTACAAATTCCTTGAAAAGCTTTGCCATATTGGTCCGAATAGAGCTTGTCATTTAAAAATTTATTTGGCAGGTTCAGAAATGTAGTTTGAAAAAAAAAACCCTCCAAAGCCCAACCAAAAAAAAAAAGAAAAAAGAAATGTAGTTTGAAATTCTCTTAGATGTAAAAGTTATTCCATTAAAGAGGCTAGTGCCTTAGAAATAGGGAGGAAACATACTTGAATATATGGGCTTTAAATGAGACGAGAACTAGAGTTTTGGACAGCCCTTACAGATGCATGCTATGGAATTTGATTATCCAGACAGATGCTAATTAACAGCCAGATCTTGAATAGCTCTTCTGAGCATGTATAGCTCACCGAGACCTACATGGCTTTTATTTTCTGCTCTATAAAAGGAAGAAGGATTAGAAGGATAATAGTTAAATTTGGTATTAAGTAAAAATTTGGTATGCAGTATATTAAGGGATATGAGGTAAGAGAAATTGTGTATTATCTAATGACAAAACCTCATCAGCCTTGAGTAAGGGGCTCAGGAGGCATTATTGGCATCTTCAGAATGAAAGTCTTGTGGGTTAAGTGAAAGCATATCTTTGATTTGATAACAGTTGAGAGCTATTAATTTTCTAAAAGAAAGTTTAGTTATTTGTAATGTAGTTGGAGAACAAGGGAGAATGTGTAGTGTGAAAAATACTGTGGAGTTAACTGCTATCTGTATTTCACAACTGATTAATATTCGGGCCAATATGGACTTAAAGGGCTATGTTTTAAACACAACTAGAAGACAAATTGAATGGTGAAGGAAATGTACTAATATTTCATTTATTCGTATAGTATTTTCTTGGCATTGAGTTAAAGTCTAAGAAGGAGGTTTCAGAGATTAGGATACTACCAGAATTTAAACTTAATGAAATTTAATCTCTAGCATGTCCTAATGCAGACAACTTGCAATTCCAGGGTTTATAAATCATACCAGGGTATTAAAGCACAGTAATCATATGTGTCAGTGGTAAATATGGGTGAAATAATGAAACATATGACTGCTCTGTTAAGTATTTGGTTCTTTATTGGGGTGCATTTATACCCTTTTATGATTAACAAGTTAGTATATATAGTTATCACAGTAATTATCTTCTCCAAAATGTTTCTAAAAATAATTATTGTGATCACTTCTGTTATTGCCCAGCGAGAGTTGGGGATAGGTTTTTTTCAGTTAACACTGTATGTAATTAGGGTTTTTTTTATTTCTTCTTCAGTTGGCAGTTCTGCAAGTAGTAGTGCCACAAGGAGAGAGTCTCTATCTACTAGCTCTGACTTGTACAAAAGATCTAGTAGCAGCCTAGCACCCATAGGGCAACCATTTTACAATAGTCTGGGATTTTCCTCCTCTCCAAGTCCAATAGGCATGCCTCTGCCAAGCCAAACTCCAGGACATTCACTTACGCCACCGCCATCACTTTCATCACATGGATCCTCATCCAGTTTGCATTTAGGTAAAAAAAAAAACAAAACCCTTTTTATTTGTATGTATACATGTATGTGTGTTTGTGTGTGTGTTTATAATATATGTAAAATATTTAATGTTGGATAAAACATGCCAAATTGCTTTTGCTTTTAGATATTAGCCTTTTGAAAAAGTTCTACTTTCCCGAAATTCAAAGTGAGGGTCTAATGTACAATAAGGTAAAGACCCCCTATTGTTTCTTATGTTTCTTTTATGAAATATAATGGTGTGTTTTTTTCTTGTCTGTGCTTTTGATTTGTGTGTTTTAGAGCATCTGAAAAGTCAACTATTTAAACATGATAGTGAAAGAGAAATTTCACTATCAAAAGATTTGCACACCATAAGAAAAGCATTAGTTACATAGCTACTGAACTAGGTTAGTACACTGGTTTTTTGCTTTGGTTTTTTAATACCTGGCCATTTTACCAGAGAGTTATTTCAATGGATTTGAATTTAGTATATTTGTGACTTAAGGAAGCTTATGGGCTTGGGCCATATACTTCTCTTACTTTTGGATATGTTAAAGAAAAAAAAATGTTTTGGGCTTGTTGTACCCCTGAAGTTGGAGCATTGAGAACTTTGTTTATATTTGTATATTAAAATTGTTCCTATTCCCAAATTATTAAATTGGTGGTTACCTTGTTTCACTCTCCAGGATGTATTTATCCATGTAGATAGTACGTTTTGAAGGGTTTTCGACATCAGAGGCTGTGTATGAATCCCTATCTTGTCAAAGAAATTATTTTTTTAAAACTTTGGATTTTTATAATTTTAGTTATTCAGCTGAGACTGAGGGATTCTATTGCCAACTTTTATGTGTTTGGAAAGATTTAAATCAGCTTACGTTTTGAAAAGTAATGCTACTTTAAGCAGATGTACTGAAAGTTAGTGGTTATGTTTGACTGCCCCCCTCCAATTATATGGCTATAGCTTAAAAAAAAAAAAAAACTCATTAATACAATAAATGTCCATGTAACAAAGGTATCTGTTGCAATGTTCATTTTGATTTACGTTATTGCACCGTGGGCTAGATTTATTTTTTAATGATTCTGATCCTTTACCCCAAATTTTGGGCCTTGGCTCATTTGGGGATACTGAACATATACAACCAATTAATTTATTCAAATGGAGCCCTAAGATCCACTTTCTAGCACTAAATGTGTAGACATACTAATCTTTAGCCTAATACCTTTCTTCATTTATCAATTTTTAGTCACAGGAGCTGCTCAGCTCCTGATTTCTGTTATTACTGCTCAGGCATCCTCTCCGACCCCCTCCGCTTTCATAAGACATACCTATGAAATGGACACAAAAATTTGGAACATAACAAACCTAAGATTAGATCTATCATAACTGTTTTCTGTTTTATCGTTAAGATTTTATTTGTCATGTCCTGTCATCTTTTCATGGGTAAGTTTCAGATCAGATTCTTGTTCACTTCTTCCTGCTGTGTTGTGCTTTAGTGCCTGTTTAAATGGCAGTAAATATGGTTCTACATAGCTTGCTTAGAAATTGGATAGCAATGACTTTTTAGATGTCTCTATGATTAAACAGCAGTCTAGACATGCTTCTCTGCCTTTTTTAGATGGTAAGGAAACCAGCCTAATAATAGATGCTTAGGGAAGGAATTCTGGTCAATTGTGGGAAATAATCACCACTGGGCCAGCAGTTCTGTGTTACAGACTAACAACTTCAGCTTGAAATCTGATATTTTAATACACCTCTGATTGGAATTAGTAATTATCTGTGTTATTTTCTTTTTGTGACCCCCAGTTTCCCATAGCTTGACTGGCAACATTGTTAACAACAAATAGAGTCAGACTAGGTTGAAAATAACTTATGAAGGATTTCATAAATTTTCTCTTTGCATACTGTTCATGGAAACAGTTTACTCTGCACTTCCCTGTGAATGAATCATGATGCAAGGCTTTCATGCTATCAGATCAAAAAAAAAAAGAAGAAAAATATTTTAATTCTGTATCCATGAAGTGGATTTCTTTATGAATCAAGTCTCAGGGCTGATGGTATACAATATCTATGGAAATGGAATTTGCATATTTTTAAAGTAATTTTACGGAGATCACATATCAAGAATATGAAATCATAAGATAGAGATAAGTTCTCTCAATTCTCATTTGAACTGGTTAGAATTAATTCCAGGTTATTTTCCTGGGAGATTTTATTTTAAGATGTGAATGTTAAAACCATTACACTTACCTGTGAGGCTTGAGATCTGCATTCTCAAAGTTGTTCCTTTGTTAGTGTTAGCTATTTTGAGATTCACAGAAAACGCCTAATAGCAAGATTCTGTACTATCTTTCAAAAAAAAAAAGTTTTCATTTTTTAAGGTAGTAGGCATTTAACCTACTGACTAATAAATCACTTTTTGATTGAAGTGTAAGAATTTCAGTGCATAGTTTTGGGGTGTTGAATTTTTTTATAAAAATCTAAAATACTTGTTCAAATTTGCAACTCTGTTGCTTATTTGAATATATTAAAGTTAGATGCATGAACAAATAATTTTATTTTCCCATTTTTTATTGTGTAATATCAGATTCTATTTCTAAAACAACTACAGTATATCATACATTTTTGAATTATTTCTTATTAACTCTAATCTCCCTAATTGACTTAAGGGTCTTTAACAACTGTTATATTTGAATCACAGTCGAAATGAGGTTCATACATTGCATTTGTTTGATGTGTCTTTTATTGTGTAATTGTTTGTTGTTCATCTTCTTTCCCCTTTTCCATTTAAAATTTGATGAAGAAACTTTGTTGATTTTCCCACACTTGATATTACTGATTGCTTCCCCATAGTGGTATTTAAAATGTTCCTGTATCAGGCTGGGCGCGGTGGCTCAAGCCTGTAATCCCAGCACTTTGGGAGGCCGAGGTGGGTGGATCACGAGGTCAAGAGATCAAGACCATCCTGGTCAACATGGTGAAACCCCGTCTCTACTAAAAATACAAAAAATTAGCTGGGCACAGTGGTGCGTGCCTGTAATCCCAGCTACTCGGGAGGCTGAGGCAGGAGAATTGCCTGAACCCAGGAGGCAGAGGTTGCGGTGAGCTGAGATTGCGCCATTGCACTCCAGCCTGGGTAACAAGAGTGAAACTCCATCTCAAAAAAAAAAAATGTTCCTCTATCTCTTCTGTAAAGTGGAATTCGATCTAGAGGCTTCGTCAGATAGTTTATGGTTTGGTTGGTTTATTTTCACAACATGGGGTTCCCTTACTTTTTGTTACACCATATCAGGAGACACATGTCTGGTTGTCTTCATTTTGAGATGACCAACCTGATCCACCTAATGGTTTTAGCAGCCTTTGGTGATTAATTTTTTTTCCCAGAGGTTGCGAAAATGGTGATGCATTAATTGTGTCTTTCTTTCATCATTTATCTGGAACTTTGAAGAAGATTAACTATCCTTCATCAGTTGTGAGGTTACCCTGAAAGACAGTTCATGTAAGAATCAGAATAATGCATGATCCTTTCCTTTACTTTCTAGAACAATGTTGGTACCCTAGCAACTTTTTAAGGTGACTTGTGGTTTAATATTAAATATTGAGTTATTTTGTCACATTGTATTTTCTCACATCTATAGGATGGGGCAGTGTACCTGCAGTTGTTTTTTTACATCATTGTCTAGGATAGAAGTCAGCATCTTTTTTTTTTTTTTTTTTTAATAAAAATTGTGGGAAATAATTATCACTGGGCTGGCAGTTTTGCATTTTAGACTGACAGCTTCAGCTCCTTGTGAAGAACATTAAATATTTTTATAATATTACCTTATTTTTCTACCTGGAGCTAGCTGGCTAGTTGTTTCCGTTTCCTTTCTTTTTCTTCTTCTAATAACACTTAAAATACAGTGTTGATACATTTTTTTTTTTTACTCCAGTCTTTATGCTCATAGTAATCTGATTGATTTGGAACTTACTGGGGATAAAGAAGTGTTTGTATTTTTGTTATTTAACTTAGGCTTTGACAAACTAGGGACTTCTTACCCTGTACTTCCTCGGTTTTGAACTTTTTTTTCTTTTCTTAAGAGAAAGGGTGCTAAAGTGTAATGTGAACTTTGAACTCAGTAAAATTCATTGAAATTCTGAAGGGACTATCAATTCTGCAGATTTTTTAATGTCATGCATTCAGCAAGTAAATGACTGTGCTTTAGTTTGTTGTGGATTATAGAATTTCATAACCTGTCTTTTCTCCCGTTTACAGAAAATTTTAATAACAGGCAAGATATTTTAAACTTTCAGAGTTTAAATTACTGGCCTTTGGCAGACTTAGTCGTGTGCTTCTCTTATAATAAAATATTTTAAAAAGTAAAATTAATATGGCCAAGTTGATAGGCCACTTACCATTTTTCTGAGTTTCACATGTTATCATTAATGAAAGCAAAAAACAATATAAATTATTTGAAATGTTTACTGAAAATAGTATTATCCTCTAGCAATTACAGTTCTCTGTAACTGAATAGCATTTGATAGCTTTTTTTTTAAAGCACCTTCATATTCATTATTTCATTTCATCATAATTGTTGGCATAGACTGTCAGAGTGGTTTGTTCATTAAAGATGAAGAAATTAAAGATCAGTTGATTTAGAGACTTTCCCAAACCAGTAAATAACAGAATTAAGACTAGCATCCAATTCTGACTGGTAATACTATTCTTTCTTTTTTCCATTATGCTATCCTTTAGGGAACTGAACAATTTTCCAAAGTATATAAATAACTTATTCTAATTAGCTTCTCAGAATCTAATGATTACCTCTTTACGGTATAAGTTATGCTTTTTTTTGGTTAAGGTATGTATGGGAGTACCAGCTTTTTAGGTTCCTTTCTCAGTTTAGTTATTCTTGAGATTTAGATTAAAATGCTTGTCCAAGCACATATATTATGCATTCCCTAAAATAAGAATATTTGTTAAATCTTAGGCAGGCAATTTAGAGACTGTGTATAGAGCTGCACGCTGTACTCTCATCAGAA